AATGTGAAAAATAAATAACTAAAAAATTCTGAGACAAACATCCTTTACCCTCATACTTTATATTCAACATATCTGATTGATTAAAAATTATAGCGCATCATTTCATGCGATTGTCCTTACCGCTGTTTGAACGCAGCTCTTACAGCTTCCTTCTGTCCAGTGTCATACTGGGAGATGAAGATATCTGATGCTGTAGAGCAAAGAGAATGAACTATTTTAATCAGGAGCTAAAATGTCCCTTCTTAGCAAAAAGAAAAGAAGGAAAGGCTACTTCACAGTTTGCAAGGAGAAATTCAATTACAGTATCATACATAGCTTTCAGCAACCCTATCTCATATGGAAACATTCTATTCTTTGAATCTGGGATTTGTATTAAAGCATAACTTCAATCCTGCTTTCAAGGAGATTGCAAAAAATGTTTTGTGTTTGATTAGTGTTGTTATTGCCTAACTACTATATGAAGTAGGATATCAAAAAAATATAAATATATATATATATATAAAAAATAGCAGCATTCGATAATGCACCCTCCCTCTTTTAGTGGAGGAATTACGTATTTATACTTTAAAGTTTTATATTTATATTTTACAACATTTCCCAGATGGATTTTTGAATCTATTTGGCTCTTTTCTTCAAAAGCCATACTCCAAATTTCTTAGCTTGCCTTATTGCATAATATTTTGTGTAAGATGCTAATCCTAAATGAATTTGGTTAGATTTTTGTTGTAAACATAAATAACCATTGCTGTATACTCTCGAGATCTAGTCATCAATCTTATCCCATTGGCAAAGTTCCTTTTTTCCAGTATTATATCAAATTGATTCTTATCACAATCAGCAAATATTTCAATAGGTTGATTTAATTATTTAAAAAAAACAGGTTCTCTTTTTTAATTCAGGTTCAATTTAATTGAAATATGGCAAACAAATCTCTTTCCAAAAACCATGACCTAAAGTTGTAAATATATGCAGTAACATGAAATTGCAGGCAAAATATTACCTTTCTGCTTAACTGCATCTCCTTTCCTTTCTGAAGTAATCTGCACTGCAGGTTTATTTGGATATGTCTATCTCAGAAAAGGAGAAAGAAACTTGAAATAAGCTTCAGAATTACATCACTACATATTTAATTTCTAAAAAAAAGTAGATATATATTTATATAAGACATAAAGCAGAAAACAATCTGGCACCTTAAAATGTGTGTGTGTGTGTGTGTGTATTCAAAATTAACAGATTCACTAAAACATATAGCCACCAAGATTCCTTTGATTACAGCAACATATAAATATGGAAAATAAATAAATGGGCACATTTAAATCAGTTATGTGCAAAGTCTGAATATTGTCAGGCTATTGCCACCTTGGAAACGTTGCTTTAAACACCGTATTTCCTTTGACAGAAAAATTGCAAAATAAAATAGTAAAGTTGCAATAGGAATAGGAAATAAAGAAAAATAGATTTTTGGCTAATCATATATTTATTTATCAAATTTATAGATTGCCCATTTCACTCACAGAGCAAGTCTGGGCAGTGTACAATTAAAAAATGTCTAGTCTTCCTTAAAAAAGAAATAAATTACTTTGGCTATTTTATGCCATTTCAAATTGAGAACAACAGCTACAAAATAACATTGTGAAACTGATGAAACGTATTTCAAATTGGTAAGGTATTCCTTTCCTTTAATAAAGCACAAGTGAATATACAACCACAAATATAAATATTTCTTGGGATTTGGATCAGCTAGACATAAACATACAAAAATGTTTAGTGAGCTATTAAGACTTATAAAATCTCCAGAGCTGAAACAGATTGCAGATTTTATATATGCAAGTAAATAGTAAAATTCTTTGGTTTATTGCATGTATCTAAACTTCAAAGGCAACCAAGAAAAGGAGGAAGAGAACAAGGAAAGCAAAAAATAAACAATTCGTTTCTTATGGTAATATGATTGTAAATGGAGAGTGATGAGGAAAGAGGCTGGAGACAGCTTTAAAGCGCAGTGATTTTCTGTGACAGTTGAAATGGAGAAAACAAATGGCCTGAGTCAATCTCAAACTGTCTACCGTGGACCTCATGGTATTCACCCTTCTTAAGAGGTCCTTAAAGGGGGGGTATGCATAAGCACACCAGCGTGCCTACTGTCCCTGTCTTACTGTCCCCATTTATCTGTATTTACTTCCTTTGTTCATGTTTATGTTCATAGCTATACTTGTTATCTTGTACATGTTTGCCAAATAAATAAATAAAAAATAATAATACAAGAAATGTTATGATTTCTGAGAGGCAAATAGGGAAAGTATCAATGAATATATGAAATGTTCAGAACGCTACTAAGCCTACCTCTGAGGAAAAGCATAAAGACTGTGCATCTTTTTCAGGTAATGCTAACTCTTCTGGGTCTGTGCCAGCATGCTTGCTCACAAGGCCTAGAAAAAAGTATGGTTAGTACATTATCTGTATGAGAATTAATTTACATATGGAACATTTTCTAGTATCATCCTAGCATAACTTTTATTTCTGCTATTCAAAAAGTGCACAACAAATCAAGATAACTGCAGAATAGCACTTAAACAAAGGAAAAGGAAGGAATTGGATATACGGAGCATATTGTCAGCACAGACTATTAATGTGCTGATATCGATATACAACACAAAAGTTACAGAATGTCCCACATATGCTAGCAATTTAACAGAAAACAGTCATGCAATTAGGAACCAGGAAACACGTTGGAGTGAAATGTTTTATAAGTCTAATAAACAAGTAGGTGTTCCATTAATGTGTCATTAAATATTATTATGCAAGCTTGACTTTACTTGAAGTGTTAAATTCCTACTAGCTATAACCTCAATTAAAATTCTGCAGATATCTATAGTATAATTTGCTATTTGAAATTTTCATACAAATAAGATGCAGACTGTTAAGTTTCAGAAAATTAAGAACAGTATTAAATATACCCCCTGCAGTGCATCCAAAAGATACTGCTCTTGATTTATGATGTACGGTTTTGTTTGCCAGCAGTACTGATGGTATATAAGCTGCATCATCATTAACCGATGCTGAACATTCTGGACGACTGAGTGGAGTCACTTCTCGAAGTTTCTTCACTGAAATAGTCAATTTTTTTCTAGCACAGACATCAGATTTGCTGCTAGCAGGTGCTGCCCGAACACCAAGGGATTTATTTTTCATGCGAACGCTGATGGAATAAATGAGAAAATTACTGGCAGTGAGGCTGGCCAAAAAATCTTTGCCTGAGGTAGTAGTGTCTTCTGCTTCCTTTAATAGCTCACATCATATCCATTGGGCCGGGTTTCTGTTAAATAATCACAATACTAAATAGATGACGCAGTGTTTTAAATATAACAAGAGAGGAAAAAGGAAGAAGTGGGACAGGTTCAACTGAAATGAACTCTGCTGTTCTATCAAAAGATAACCACCACCATGAACTGTAGCAGAAAGACATATGCAGCATACCACTATTACAGAGTTCTGCTTAAATATACTCTGATTAGAGAAATCTGGAGCTGCCACCCTAAAGAACATTCTACAGCCAACTTGTCTACAGAGAAAACCTGGTTTTATGATGCCCTCCGCCCCTGCGTTCCTACATCCTAAAATAAAAAAATAAAGTTAACATGGTTTCAATATTCATACACAGGTGAAATAATATAACTGTTTCTATTTCTGAATATCCTCATTTTTTCCAAAAAGATTTACAAAAAGCAAGCATTGCCTACACATTCCCTACCAAAATTCCTTGCAAACTCATAAGCTGCAGGAAGCAGTTCACTTGCTTAACATTAAAGATGCTATCTAAAGATGCTAATTATGAATTCTAGACACTGAAACAATCTATAACAAAAAACACCCTAAAAATAGCTAGCCTCCATTAAATTATTCTTTAGTAGCAGATATAAGTGTCAAAGTTTGAGGTAAATGCATAGATGCTTGTTCCTGAGAAAAGCATCTATTCATTCATCGCAAGCTTTGCTAATAAGACACTTGTATCTCCTACTAAAGAATAATTTCTGTGGCTGTAAGCTACAGTTCCAGGATTACCTTATGGCTAGAGGCCTTTAAACCATGAACACTGTCTAGTTTTATTTGAATTCTATGCCCAGCAGCTCTGAGCCAGTTTTGGTACAAATAAGTGGAGAAAGAAAAATATTTCCAATCTATAGACTTTTAACTGTACAATTTGGCATGAACACCCTTTCAATGGTGTGGGAGTAGGAATGGATTTCCGGTGGGAAATTTTTTTGCAGACTACAGGAACCAAAAGCATTACTCAGGTGACCCTAAGGACACAGATAAACCTCCAAGTGTTTCAACGATCCTCTAAAAGGATGCAAATGACCAGCTGTCTCCAAGGAGGATAAATCCTTCCGTTCCCCACTATCCTGTCAGAGCTGAAGAAGCTTCTTGGATGAGAAGTGAGATGTCTTCAAAGAAAAAAACAACGAAGAAAAGTCCAGTTGCCTCCTGAAAAAGCACCTTTGGGACAACCATGACCTGGATGGCTGAGAATCTGCAGCCTTTCCACTCTGCCTTCCATTACAACCTAGTAAACCCTGTACCATTATTTCCAGCTGTCCAAATTACATAAAGCAGTATGATTAAGACTAAGCTGGATATAAGATGGTGTGTGTTGCTTTTGTTCAGAAGATAAGGGAACCATAACTAACCCATAAGCTACGGGGGAGAGGGAAAAAGATCTTCCGAGCTTTACCTCGCCATAGCTTTCAATCTCCCCTCACCTTTCATCCCCAATGGGGACCCGACTTCCCTACACTTTTCTTCTCGTACATCAGTTTTTGTATGATCGTCCGGCAATCAGCCATTAGAAACGCTGGTTGTCATAGTCACAACAACCACTTACAGCGGGAGCTCCCGCCGCTTCCAAACTGACGAATGAAGCCCAACCTCTTCCTCCTAAGGGGGGAGGAGGAAACTGCCTGAGTAAAGAATGCGCATGTGCAGATGGAACTTCCGCTATCTAGAGCGGAAGACACTGCGCATGCCTCGCAAAATCCGCCTTTCTTCTCTTCCCATTCGCGACACCTTTATTTTCCCCTCGCTTACCCAGTTCAGTTATGGTAATTTTCCGGGTAGAAACAATGTTCTACACGAGTGGTTCCTCCACTCACATGCCCTATTTATAGAGCTATTCCGTTCTATATATCGCTTCCTGATTTGCCGCCTTTACCAAGTAAAAGTGAGAGCAAAACAGCCTTTGTAAGCAATAGGAACGCCTAGATGAGAGGAAGGGGACATTTTACAGTGTCGCGCACATTTGGTGGTTGCTACGGTAGGTAAACCTGCCTGACAACTCCGCCGTCGCTGATTCGTGTCCACCGCCACGAGGTATGTAAGTGGAGGCGAACGAAAGGGAAGCACTCGTGTTGTGGGGAGTTGGTTTTGTCGTAAGCAAAAGTAAGGAAGGAAACGAAGAATAAAAGTAAGAATTTGTAATGCATTCCGTAGGGTTGCATCTGTTAAATATTGCAGTTGTCTCCCTTTACCAAGTCTCCCTGGAGAAAGTCAGTGGGATAGTAAAGCTTTTTTTTTTTTTTTGAATGAACAAAATAACAGAGGGCAAGCTTCGTTTGCTTCCATTTCTGGACGTTGGACTGCAGTGATAAAAGAGAGATTTGAGGTTGGGTTTCTGAGTTTTCTCCATATGTTCTAGCGCTGCAGCGCTTCTGGGGAAAGAGAAGATGTACAAGCTTTCATCATGACCTTGATAATCCATCAAGCTGCTTCCTGGGCACCAATGAGATCTAGGGCTCATTCAAAACTCTAGACTCAAAAGACTGGAATGTGATTAGAGAATTAGTATTATAAAGGCTATCAGCACTTGAATATTAAAAATATAATTTAAGTATAGCAGTAAAAAAAAGAGGCTGTCAGCCCTAGTTTTACAAAATCCTGTTGGATTCATCCAAATGTCTGTCTGATCAGAAATCATCTTTCTACAGCAGGCAGATGTTTGGCCTAGGAAAAGACAAACATTTCATGGCATCTCATATTTTTTGATAATGTTTTGGCTCTGATATTGGATGTAACAGTCATTGTATGTTGTGATTTTCACAACCTTACTCCTTGTATTTATTTAATTCCCCTTTACACTTGCTTAAACATGACAAAATAGTACACAAAATGTGCACCTAATTTGACATGCATAGCCTTGTACATTTATATCCTATTATGTTTATGAAAAATGGAGAAGAGATGTTTCCTTAGCCTTTCCGTCTTCAGAGCTGCATCCATAATATCAGTCCAAGCTCAGGAGGAATCATATAGGATCCTTTTTTCTAACTCCTTTTGGTGCTAGGGATAATAAAGTACATGTCATTCCCAGACTAATATAGGGAATTGTTGCCTCTCAAAAAATTGGCAGAAGTGTCTCCCAGAGGAAAGATATCCTTATTGCTTGATAACCTGTTCTGATGAAGACAAGTAAGGTTTAGTATTTGCTAAGATTCAGAACAACTGAAACAGTCCATTTAAATGCCATTACCATCCTAACCTTATGTTGGGCCTCTGAAAGAGCTAGAAGAAATGATCAAAAGCTTATATGACTGTTTTTGATAATATATGGATTGACTGAATATATTGTTCTAATGAAAAAATAATGTATTGGAAGAACAGAGAAAATCATGTTAGGTTCAATACTTAAAAGTTCTTATCAGGAAACCTATTAAGTAAACAAATAGAGATTTAAAGGGTTATCTCTTGGTTGCAATGTGTATTTTCTTTTGAAGGCAAAATCCATAAGAGCATTTTGTCATGTGTTATGAAGTCCCTTCAGTTTGTATAACTTGAATCTTGTGTGATTAAAATACTGGAGAGTGAATTTATGCATTATGTAGAAATCCAAATTGAAATACCTCTAAGAAATGGCTGGTTAGCTTCTGCTGGAATATAAATGGTAAAGGACCATCACATGTCTGGATAATTGGTTCTACCGAATAGATTCTATTATTGTAAGAAAATGTACCTTAAACACTGTTGGTTAAAAAGTGATGTATAAATTACAGACTGAAGAATTCACCAAATCTTTCGTTGTGAATTTTGTTTCACAGAGCAGCATTAACATGACCAATGGGCCTTTGTATTCTTTCCGTGCTCTTCCTTTTTAAAAACAATAAATAGGTAAACAGCAAAGTATTGAATTGAAAAATGTTTTGGAATAAACATTGACTTAGATATCTTGCTTTCTGCATAGGTGGCAGTTGCCTCAGAATTAAAACATGGCTGGACAAATATCAGAATCAGATCAGATCAAGCAGGTAAATATGGTTATCATTTTTAAATGTTTGGGTGCTTTTGAATGTTTGTATTACTACATAATTTGACACTTGAATAGTCTTCCTTAGAAAGGTTAATATTTGTATCAAATGCATTTATCAGTTCAAAACAAGTACATACTTGATACTATCCAAGTGCCCTTACTTTTATGGATGTTATTTCTTCTCAATCTGTCCTTCATATTTATTTTCTATGAAGAATGGGCACATCCAAGTCTGAATATCTATTTATTTATTCACAGTTTAAGGAATTTCTTGGAACATACAACAAACTAACAGAAACCTGCTTCCTAGATTGTGTGAAAGATTTCACTAGCCGAGAAGTGAAGCCAGAAGAAGTATGTGACTTATTTTAAATTTTTTGAATTGTAACTGGTAAGAAATTAATGTCAGCTACAAAGTTGCAGTATGATGAGGGAAAGATAAATGAATTAGTGCTAAAACATCAACAATAATCAGACTTTAATTAGAGCAGCAAATGGATCAAATTGATGATTTACGCTAAGCCAGAATCCAATTATCAATCCAATTCCAATTTTCCGATTCATGGAAGATAAGATATTTCTGAAAAATGATGGTTTTGCCAGCTAATTTAAAATTTGCAGGTCATATACCAGAAAGGGTATACACAGAACATGTTAGATAATTACAGTTAATAGTAACTGTTTATTAACGAAAATCCATTATGTTACAGAGATTTCTCTCTCATCTCCTAGAGTGAGTCAAAGTAGCAGGGAAGAAATTCCATCAAATTGAGTCACAAAGGGCTTGCTTTCATTGGGCAAATCTTATATTTGATGACATATGAATTGTAAATTATATCAATAACTCTTTCCCCTTCAGCCTTGCTTCAGTTGCTTAGTTTAGGCATCAGCATGTTAGGAGTCTAGCAGGTACTGGGTATCAAACAAAGACAAATGTGGGAAGTAATTACACATAGTCCTTTACTTAGGACCACTCATTTAATGACTAAAGTTACAATTACTTCAGGGAGCTCTATGGTCTGTTTAAAGCACTTCTGGCTTACCAGTATCATAAAACATGATCGCATGATTGCAGTCTGGATGCTTGATAACCTGTTCTGATGGCCAATTTCTAAGTGTCCTACAATCACATAATCACTATTTGCAATCTTCTCTGCTGGCTTTCCCAGAAAGTCAGTGAGGAATCTGGAATGTTGGCAGGGAATGTTGCAAGCTGCTGATGTCTGCCAAGCAGACTCCCTCTCATCTCTGGGAGCTGACTGGAAGAACTGCCTTCCAAGGGGAGCTGAACTCCCTTGCTGTGATTTTCACAGCCTCGGAGCTCCATTCCTGTTGCCTTCCACGTATAAAAGAGAGCTGATATTCTCTTGCAGGGTGCAGAAATGGAACTTAAATCCTGATGATTTAAAGTCCATTTCTGCACCCCACAGAAGTTTTCTTCCATGGAGAAAGAGCTAAGACCTGATATCCTTCATTAGATAGTTCTTTCAGACACCTTCTAGAGAGAAGAGGGATCCAAAATCCAAGTAGAGGGTGTAGAGGCAGTGCAATAATCTGAGAATAATTTGGATTAGCTCAGGCAGGAGGACGAGGTCCAATGTAGGTAGAACACTAGTGTCTCTTCACTAATATCTCTACTTGGATTTTGGCAGGGAGGATTTTCAGCTCCTAAGCAGAGAGAAAGCACAGTCAGGAAAGGAGCACAGAGTGCCCCCGGGGGAGGCCCAGTATAGGATGTACATAAGTATCTCTCTCACTCAGGGTGACATCCTGCTTGGATTTTGCCAGGGAGAATTTCAGCTCGAGTGGAAACTCCCCCACCCCAGGGCACTATGCACTCCTTGCCTGGGACTTCTTGTGCAAGCACTTTTTATTTATATATTTGTATCCCACCTTTACTGTTCTTACAAATTCAAGGTGGTGAACATATCCAATACACCTTCCTCCTATTATCCCAACATCAACACCCCTGTGAGGTAAGTGGGGCTGAAAGAAAGTGTCTGGCCCAAGATCACCCAACTGGCTTTCGTGGCTAAAGCAGAACTAGAACTCACGGTCACCTGCTTTTCTAGCCTGGTACCTTAACCACTGGACCAACTGGCTTTCTTTTAATGAACACAACCAAGAGTGCTGGGAACACAGTCACAGGATGTCTCATTTAACAAGTGCTTTATTCATTGCTCAAGATTCTGGTCCTAATTGTGGTGGTTAAGCGAGGACTACCTCTATCTAATAGAGTTAGAATGGGAAGTTTGTTGTCTCACAAGTTCAAGAACTGTTCAAGAACAGTTTGTTTGTCAAAGCAGCCTCTTCTAGATGTTAATTAAAAAGTTGGGTCAAACTCAGGACAGATGGTGTGCCAATGAATATAGTTATTCTATTTAGTTGTCAGTAGATTGTACAAGGAGAATGCTCTTTTTGTAAGATTGATCTTTTTTCTGTCCTCTGTATTTTCTTGTATCCTCCCTTTCGAAATTACTAAAAGTGTATTGAACATAGCTCTATCTAATAGGGATTAGCAAAGTTAAAAATCTTGCAGTAATAGTGTATTTTTTTTTGCCTCTTAATTTGAATTCTACTTCTGTAAAAATAATTTGAATTCCTTGTTAACAACCAATGATACAGATTATTCCCCCAGGAATTTTCAGGTTCTTTTGTTACAATCATACAAGCTAGCAGCTGCATTATATATAGCAGCAGGACACTCTCTACCTAGAATCCAAGAGAACAATTACTTTAAGTATCAGAATTGATTTTCCTCAATGTAAAAAAAATAAATCATAATCCAATCTGGTAGTAACAGAGATAGACACCGTGACCTGTCCAAATCTCCCATTTAGTTTGATATTGGAATAGATTTTAAAGAAAAATATGATATATGCAATTTCTATTGTTAAATAAAAGCTAAACGTTCCAAATTCTTTATCCTATACATCTGATCATCTATCACTAGAAATGAAGGAAGTATGTTAAAAAGCAGCATTAGACACCAGTATCTTAGTGTCTTAAAATAAAAGCGATTCTAATGGCTCAATTTACATAATTTGTTTTGAAAACACTGATAGTGTTAAATTATCATTATAGCAAGCTCAAAAGGGAAGTGTTGAGCAAGTTCTGCTTATACCTAACATTTTATGAAGTTTTTAATGTAGTTTCTGTAGATGTTTAAATGTAGTATCAGATGCACTGGAATGAGTGTTTATGAAAAATAGTGCATGTATGCATTTTAAAATACTTTGCATATTAAAAAAACTGAATGACAAGTAAGTTCCTCCTGTTTTTTTCTTATACAGATAACTTGTTCAGAACACTGTTTACAGAAGTATTTAAAAATGACCCAGAGGATATCTATGAGATTTCAGGAGTATCATATTCAGCAGAATGAAGCGTTGGCTGCCAAAGCAGGACTCCTCAGCCAGCCCCGCTAGAAAACAGCAGATTGTCCCACCTGAAGGAGTGCTAGCATTGTCTACACTACATGCGAGGATGCCTGGTGTCTAGTGCTATTCTGGCAACACCTACCACCAGCTCAATAATGGGATTGCTTAAAGAATGATTCAGTTGTCTCAAAATATCTGGTCTACAGTTGGGATTGAACAGCCATGGAGTTCATGGAGTTCATCTTTTTTTCAAGATTGTCTTTTACTGTAATGCAGGAATAATGTTGATTCCATCTTTTCTGGAAAGATGGGTTGGTTCTGCATGTTAATCGGTTACAGATAAGGAACAAAAACATTTTATTTTTTATTGTTTCTAATACAGCGATTATTCATTTTAAAAGAAAAATGTGTTGTCCAAAATTATATGTAAAAGTGTCTAAAACAAGCTTTATTTTTTATTTAATCAAAGTAAAAGAGATAAGAATTACTGTTGCTTTTGAGAAGTTTTTTGGAATTATCAACAGTCATTAGGTACTCTCTTAAGAAAAGCCTTGTGTAACACTGTATTCTCAGTCATCTCCAGCATTCTGCTGGCTCACAGCTGTCTCAAATCGCTAGTAAAGGGGAGAAATAGAGTAATAATGCACTTAGATATAGAACATATTGATTTTCTAAAAACTATATTCTAAGAAGATATTTATATTCGTAGATAACAAATATTACCTCCTACTTTCCCTGGATGCTTGCAGGTCTTATTTTTCCTCTGACCCCAACATTCTAATTTAAAGAGACTACTTTCAATGGTTTAAGGAATAATTTAGAGGCATATGAAGTTGAAGAATAAAATAGTTAACTATTATGGACCAGCTTAGCAACTTGAATGGTAGATCATTGGAAACAATGTGGTGTAGTTGATATAACATGTTAACAAATTAGGTTAACAAATGTGATTCTTGCATTCACATACTATACCTAAGTAAATAAATTGATCTGTTATTTAACGGCATTTAATGACTGGTTCATACAGCATAAAATAGTAGCTCAATTTTCACTTTAAATACACAGTTCCATTTTTGTTTAGCCTAGCTTGTTGTGTGAGCCTGATGATTGCGAGACGGGAGTATTAATTTAATTTAATGTATTGCTATCTTTTAAAACCATTAGAAAAGTTTAATTCAACTTTTGCCCAGAAAAATGAAGCAGCATTAAAATCTTACTACTCTACAAAGAATAGGAGGCCTGAAAGAATTTCCTTTTTCCAGGAAAAAAAGCCCAAGACTTAATGCTGTTTCATAGAAATACCTTCTTGTTGAATTCTCTCTTTTTTTAAAAAAAAGCTTAGCTGCTACTGGTAGTTGTGTTTGATTTTGAAATTAATGAATTCTAAATTTTGCAGATTATATTATGGCCTTTTATGAGCCATGAATATAAAATGCTGTTTTACATTTGACTAGCATGGGTTTTGAAAATGATTCTACTGCATTCACTAATGTTTAAAAAGTTTAAAATTTACTTACTTGAATAGTATATGGGATACTGTGCACAAGCATTTCAAATACTTGCGGAGGTAGAGTTTGCTCCAAGACTTGTATTAGCTGGTTTGGCTGTGCGCACACAGAAATGGCATTGATGAGGTGTTCAACACTCTTCTTCTGCTCTCCTGTAATTAATTCATATTTCTAAAATTCAATCCACCATTCTTAAAAACAGTTCAATCATTTATATGCGCCTACAATTTGCATTCTGTATCTAACGCTAAACATTGATTTAACCTTCTGCTGTCTACCATGCTGCAATGTGATAAAGTATATTAATTGCTACAGCAAGTGAAGCAAAGGTGAGTAAAATGACCAGCAATTACATCCTCTCTACCTGCAACCTTTACCTTAAAAGTAGCCAAAAGAAAAATTCTCTGCATGTGTATTCTGTACAATAATTTCAGATGACAAGGTTACTATGAATTTCCAAAATAATCACCAAGATGTCAGTCATAGATTTTTTTTTCATAGTACGTGTATAAATTCCTGACCCATGTGATTTATTTAAAAAAATGAGGCTGTAGACCACCAGTGGAACTGTTAAATAGGCACAAGAACATAAAACTATCTCTTTATTGTTCACCATATTTAAAAACTCTGGGGCTTTTTGCCTTGTGAATTATTTCTATAATTCTAGGATTGGATTGTTGCAAAATATACCCAATAAAACAATCTAGATTATTCTGTAATTCAGCAATTGTTCTGATGCGAAGTCTTTTATATGTTAAAATATTTTCTTTTATATTTACTATAAAATAAGATACAGTTTCAAATTTATATGAACAGAAGTATCATTTGGAATCATGTTAGTCCCATGAGTGAAGTCAGAACTGTAACCTAAAATGCAAGCCACTGTCAAAGCAAAACAGTGACAGTGACAGGGTTGTGACATGGCAATTCTGTGTTTAGCTAACGCTGAGATAAGCTCTCTAATTTTTATTTATTTGCTTTCAAGTCACTGCTGATTCCTGGCAAATGCCTGGACTAGGTTTCTAATTTCCTTCACAACATTTTTGGAAGTGGCTTGCCATTGCCTGCTTAGGGCTGAAAGAGCGACTGGCCCAAAGTCATCCAGCTGCCTTTGTGCCTAAAGTAGGACTAGAACTTAGTGTTTCCCAGTTTCTAGTCTGTTCCCTTAACCACTACATCAAATTGGCTCCAAATGTTACTGGACTTATTTTCAACAGGACCAGGAAGCATAGCTAATGCTAAGTGTCAGTGGGAAAACAGTTTAATAAAAGGTCTCAGGTTCCCATGCCTGAACTAGCTTTCACATTTTGTTTATACCATCCAGCACTGTAGAGGAACATCAAGTGAAATGATACCACCTTTATTCATCTCTTTAATTTTCAGAAGCAGAAACATTCAAGTCAGTTCCTTACATGTTCCCAAACCATGCTTCATTAAAATGGGTATTTTTACTATTTTCAAAGTTATACATTTATAATATTTCTCTCAATTTTACCTTTTGTCAACCAAAGTTCCCCTAGCTGTATCTCCTGCAGAAAGAATTCTTGTACTTCTTCAGATTCTTTTAGCTTGTGTAACTAAGGGTTTTGGGTTTTGTTTTGTTTTTAAAAAAAGAAATGGAAATCAGTTAATTAATCTGAGTTAATGACATTTTTAAAAAAAATCTATAATTAAGTTTCCAGTTGTGGAAATAGATCTTGTGAAGGCTTTACAATTTATGAAGATGCCCATTGGTTTCAGAAAAGCATCAACTTCTATGAATGTTCCATGACTACAGCTAGTCATCGACCTACAATCATTCATTTAGTGACTGAAGATAAAACGGCACTGAAAAAAGTGACTTATGACCGTTTTTCACACTGATTGCTTCTTCATGGTTACATGATTAAAAAACAGTCACTTGGCAACTGGCATGTATTTATGACAGTTGCAGAGTCCTGACATCATGTGATCATCTTTTTGTGACCTGACAAGCAAAGTCAACGGGGAAGCCAAATTCACTTAATCGTGTTAATAATTTAACAACTGCTATGATTCACTTAACTGAGGCAAAATATGGTGTAAAATAGACCAAATTTCACTTAATAACTCTTGCTTAGTAACAGAAATTTTGGGCTCAACTGTGGTTGTAAGTCAAGGACTACCTGTCTGGCATTTAAAGGGCATTTGTTATTGTTATATTATTGTTTCAGTTATTGTATTAGTATTTTTACATTTAACAGTATAATTCTAAATACTTAAAACTGGAAGATCTATACAGTCAAAAATGATCATGTAGTTCCATTACTAGACCCATGTGGGATATATCATAGATGTGGAGATGAATACATATTCTTTCCCAGTTTCTCTTATTTATACCTTTCCGTGCCACCCATTCTAAGATTAAAGTTGAATGCTAAGAACTATAAAATATTGCAATTCTAAAAAGCCTCAGTACAAATAGATGTTAAGTCCTAAACCACACTGAGGGGGGCAGCCTCAACATTTACCCTACAGTACAGAACCTGCTACAGAAAAATAATTTTATCATAAAGGTATCTCTGGTAGGATCTGCAGAAGGGAACCCATTGAGGACCTAAGAGGATGGATGAGGTGACTTGAGCATGAATAAATACCTCCTGAAAGTAATTTGGGCTGAAGACATGATTGGGTTCAAAAACAATTGGCAAACGAAAGCAGTTGTTTTAACATAGGCATGATATGGCATCTTCTAAAAGTGTTACTTGCCAGCTAGGTAGAACATATTCATATTTACTAATTCAGGGCCAGCTGCAATTTCTGAACTGCACCCTCACCAGCATGCCAGCTCTAAAGGATATTGGGACTGATAGTTCTACAACATCTGGATAATTTTTCTGTCTGGATTGAGAGACTAAGTCAGAACTGATATTAATTTTGAATAGGGAGAATCACAACTAACACGATATTCATTAATTGCATGTAATTAATATCTATGTCATCCTCAAGAAAAACTAACTTAATCTGATGCATGTTAATTCTGTTGACCATCCATCCATCCACCTCTATCTATCCATCCATCCATCCATCCATCCATCTATCTAATTTTTAAAGTTTTAATAAAATTATATGAAATAAACTCAGAACAGATATATTTTAAAATGTTGATGGCTAACAATTCTGGCCTTCTTGCATTTTTAAAATACTACTCAAATTATAAAAAGACTACACTAAATCCAATTCTCCCCATCAACTACATTAAAATCAGGAAAGTGCTAAAAGTAAAATTTTTGCATAAATTCAATAATGGATGCTTAGGCATCAAAATCAGCTCTATTCCAGCTGCCACTTGGCCTCCACTTAGAAGGTTCTTAATCTATTGCTGTTTTTTTAATTAAAATAGAAGTTAGAATTGAGTTCTAACATTTAATTATGGCTATTACAATATTCATGTGGAGCTTAAATACATAGGCTTTGTATTTTAAGACTACTAGGCTATCCAAGAAATCTGCAGGATTTCCAAAGATTGTTTTTCACCTCTGCTTCATATTCTTTTGCTTTTTTCTGTTCTTTTCTTCTTTCTGTAAGAGTAATATGAAATATTTATTAACTACTTTTAATAGCTTAGAGCTATGAAAATATTTAAATTAAAATCCTGGTTTCTTTCCTTACCACTATTCTCCTTCAAAGATTAAATATTTAGATTTTCCAATTTTTCTTCTTGTAGATAAATATATTTCCTAAATAAAGAAATAACTAAGTAGGAAGCTCATGTGATAGAAAAAATTGACCCTGGAACCTGCGTGAAATTAGACTTATTAAAATTGGCAAGGAAGTCTGATTAAGAATCTTCCAATTTTTCTTTATTTTTCCTTCCTTGCTCCCATCTTACCTTCTTTTTCTTTTTCTTTCCTCTTTCCCGTCCCTTGTATGCTCAAGTGCAAAAGTGGAAACATTTCTCCTTTTGTTTAGTTTTTAATTTGTTTTTAGGGCCCTCTGCCAGTGAAAACAGAGCTGGGGGGCAGGGCTGCCCCCCCCCCCACGCCCCGTTTTCAGCCGTGACAACCTCCTGCAGCCTTCTGCCAGCGAAAATGGAGGACGGGGGAGGGTGAGCTCCATTTTTGCTGGCAGAGGCACTGCGGGCCAGGCCTTTGCTGTTTCCAGGCCAGGCTTTTGCGCGGGCCAGATCTAAGTACCCTGCGGGCCAGATTCGGCCTGTGGGCCTTGAGTTTGACACCCCCTGGTTTATCCCAAGCATCTGTAGATTGGTCTAATTGGGCTGTTTTGTGAATGTGCCCTGAGAAACCACTACTAACCATTGTGTGTGTGACAATAATAATGGGCTATGTGACTGGACTATTAATAATGGGCTATTATGGCCTAAGGACTTAATTATTGCTTTATGTATCAACAGAAGGAACACATCCTTATTTTCCAGGGATATATCTTGTTATTTTTTCATTAAAAAATGACATCACTGTTCATATCACTCCATGCCATGGAAATGCGAATGCTCCGTTGGATATAAGGCATGTCCCTTCTTGACCACATCACAAATGACACCATTCAACAACATTTTGGTATGGCATTAATTATAAAGATGAGAGAAGGCCAGCTCCACTGATATGGACATGTCCTAAGATAAGCACCTTCCACCATTGCCAAGACTGCCTACCAACTAGAAGTCAATGGCCGGCGATCTTATGGGCATCCAAAACAGAAAGATATGTAAGCTGTGGGCCTGCGCCTTGGAGATGCAGCTGACCATACAAAGTGGCGTTCAATGATCTGAAAAGCGGATCCTGCACTAGTGGGAATACATTAGGAAGAAGTCTGATATTATTTTATACAGTATATAATGGGGACAGGAGCTGCTATGGATCACTGCCATATGGGAAAGACGAAGAAGAGGAGAAAGACTTCCAAACCGAAGAAGCTTTTTGGATGAGAAGCGAAATGTCTTCAAGGAAAAAGAAGAACAGTCCACTTTGCCTTTTGAAAAAGCACCTTTGGTACAACCATGACACAGATGACTGAGAGTCTCTATAGACAAATAGAGTTGAGTTTATAGCGCTAATTTCACCTTTTCTTCATTCACCCATTGGAGGGGTTCGACCGCAGTTCAGTTCCTCCCCCCCCCCCGCCCCCAAATAGCTTTCTTCCTTCCAGAGGCGTGAAACTGCCTCCACCACCCTCCAAATCATCTGCCCTGCCTTTGCAGAGCACCGGGTTGGGAGAATTACGTCCAGGCCGATAGGAAACGTGGAAGTGGAACTGACACCTCCAGCTTAAAAGGGCCTGCAAAGGGACGCAGGTCCCCTGTCCCTTTTGGTGTCTTTCTCCCCGCCCCCGCCCTTCCTAGCAAAGGCATCCCCAGCCACGCCTTCTCCCTGAGGCGGGGAGAGGACCGCAGGGGCGGCAGCTCTCCCTCCCGCGCGACTTACTTTCTCTCAGCCTCTGTTTGAAGTCTGTGGCGTTTCGTCGCTTTCGGTCGAAGTAGACGCAATAGCCGAGCAAAGCCAGACCACAGGCGCCCGCCAGCAGCCACAGCAGGACGCTCCGTGACCAGCATGCCATGGCGGGGCAGCCGCCCCCTCCTCCTCCTCCTTTTCTCCCGACCGCCGGAGCGGTCTGAGGAAAGGAGGCTTCGGCGTCTCTCTCTCTCCCCCCTCCCCCCTCTTATGTTCGGTTAATTAGGTGCCGAACAGTCGGCCCGACCCGTTTTCTCCTTCGATTTCTCTTAGCAACAATCCTTAGCTTGTCCAAAGGCATTTTATTAGTACCGTACTCTTGTGGCTTCCGTCTCGCTTTCTCGGCGTCTTTTCCCTTCTTCCCTGCATCCTGTCAAGCCTAGGCGTTTTTTTTTTTAGGTTATCAGCCACTCTCATCCCCTGCACAAAGTATGTGAGTTTCTCCCTCTTGATCAGAGTCTTAAAGGAATAATCGGCTTTTAATTGATCCTGTAGTAATTGACTGTTGTTTTTTTCAGGGTGGAGTTTGTAAACTGTTTCATCTCGTTAATTTAAAGTTCGACGAGGGTCAGAAGTGGTACAAAAGGCCACTCTTTTGTCAGAAAATGGACAGCAATAATAGGAAATCTTTACTGAATAATCTTAGTATGTTGAAACCAGGACTCTGATCTAAATGGATTCTATGTACCTACTTAACATGTTTTAAATGTATGTGTTTACAGCCAAAGTTTTTGTTGTCTCATACATCAGGAATTATGTGATCGATTCAGTTAACACAGAATTCCTTTAAAAAGTCCCTGAAAAAAAGAGCTACCTAACTGAAGTAAATCAAGATACTTGTTCTTTTACCATGCTGGTGAAATTTTATTGTAGTAGATGATTTAACAAAAACAAGCTCCTTCACATATGAACAGAATTAGGAAAATATATCAAATTTATAAAATGGAGATACAGTAGAGCTAGAAATTTTTTTAAAAAAACTTTAATGAAAGAATATAATCAGATTGCTCAACGTTTTCTGAAAACATTATCTTCATTTAAAAAAAAACCTAATTCAAATGTTAACTGCCTATACTTCCTAACAATCCATTGTTGCAAGGCAGGTCATTTTTTTTATCACTTTTGCATGCAAGTTCATAATTGTAGATGTTGATAGATTACAGATACTTGAATATTAGCAAAAGAGAATGTGTCTGAATTAAAAATGAAATTAAAATCATGTGAAATAATTCCCAGAATTTAATTCTCAACAGGAAGGTAAGTAGAACTTCAGAAATTTAGGGATTATTGTGTATTTAAAATTTTGAGAGCTTATTCATGCTCTAAAAAGGTTGCACAGGGAAACATGCATTCACAAAATGACTGCCAAATGTGCCAGTCTTTGTTTCATTCATTCATACATCAGTAAACTGGTGGGATTCCTTCTTGCTGCGCTTTGTGCTTTCATAATTATCCTTACTACTTTAGCTTACAATGGTCTTAGATGGATCTTCTGGGCTACAACTTTTTAAGAATGTTATGGCAGGTGCTTATCTGCTTGAATTTATTATTATTAAACTTGTATACTGCCCAATTCCCACTGATATTGGGCAGCTCACAAGAAAAAATGCAATTAAAAATGACAAGTGCAATAGTCCAGATGTAATTGTCCAAGGCCTATGTGAAGGAGTCAGATCTTTGCTGTTTTTTTCTGAGCAAAATAGGTGCCCTCTGGATCTTAGGAGGAGCCTCATTCCAAGGCAGGAGCTGCTACAGAAAAGGCACATATCTGAAATCCCAGATGATGACTTTGTTTAATTAAAGGAACTCAGATTGCTAACCGTGGAAGAATTGGTCAGTAGGTGCTATGGAAGTCAGGAATGTACAGCATAGGAATGTTTTATCTTTTGCTTTACCAGCCATTTCAAGTAGTAACTAACTAAGCTATTTGCTTTACACTTTTGCCTTACAGCAGTTGCAGTTTTCAGAATCAGGATTAATTTTTTCTCACCTTCCAAAATTGACTTCTGTTTAACACTGAACTTTGTGGGTACAATAATGATCTAATTTAGTTATTCTATTAAGTTTTATTTAGAAAAACCTAATTCTTAATTGTTCATTATAAGACCCCTTTTCCCATAAATGAAATATATTCTGACAGTTTTGCCTATTAATGCAGTTGCAGTTTAAGGAAGGCAAGCTATATCCTCTTGAGTCTTCTAACCCATTAAAGTATTACTAAAATTTGAAAGCTGTATCTACATTTTGAGATGGGGAATAGATACGAAGTGTAACATAGTTCTTACATTAAGAAAACCAATGTTGCAAAAAAGCCCAAACACCGGTCCTGCTCAATTATGAAGTGCTACTCATTTTGTAGCCCTCACCACCCTCAAAATTTTTTGTAGTGGAGACCCTAACCACTGAAAATTGCCCCTCATCCCAATATATAATTTTGATAGAATAACTATCCTAAGATGTTACCACACTGATACAGTAATTAATATATATTGATCTGTAGTTGTTTGGTGCACAAAATAGATTTTGTACCATGTTACTTATTTGAAGGTATGAATGGGCATGTATAAAAGTACATGTGACCTTGGAATACTGTGTGCCATAAAAGCAGATGAATTTATTCTGGAAGATTTCCAATTTTGCAGCAAATGAAAAGAATGAGATATCTAAAGTGATAAAACAAGAGATGGTTCTCAAACATGTTATAATATAAATGAACTACAAAAAGCTATGTCATTCATGTGAGAAAAGTATCAAGTGGTTTGGAAAAAAAAAGCTAACCTTAGGACTGGCACATCAGTAGTTTATCAAAGTGAGTAGGAACTGTAGTACTTCAAAACCACCACACAGTATCATGATGGAGCTAAGTGTCTCATATCTTCTGAAACTAGCCTGGCTAACTAGATTTTGAATTACATACATGTGGGTGGTTGTGAGCAAGAATGAGTAAATGAATAGAAGTAATTCTATGTTTGTTTCTACTTGCTCTGAGTCTTGATTATAAATAGTGGTGGTAGAAGTGTTACAAATACAGGTAGTCCTTGATTTACCACTAGAATTGAGACCAGCCAAGCAATTAAGTGAGTTGTGCCTGATTTTAGCACTTTTTTTTTTTTGCTGTGGTTGTTAAAACAAATCATATGGTTGTTTAACCAAATCCAGCTTCCCTGGTTGGCTTTGTCAGAAGCCCCTTGGAGGTTACAAATGGCAATCACATGAGCCCCAAGATGCTGCAACCATCATAAACACATGCCAGTTGTCAAACACTCTAATATTGATCATGTAACCCTAACCCATGTGATGGTTGGAAGTGTTTAATGAATGGTCATAAGTTGAGGACTACCTGTATTATCCTTTTTGTGATTCTTTGTGGGTCGATTAGCACCATGCTATCAAATAGTCCTATTATGATTCTATACTTCTTGTAACAATTGGATTTGACAGCAAATATACAAAATCAACTACTGTAAAAAATAAAATAAGGCCTAAGTTTAAAAATGTAACTTTTATTAATGCTCACAAGTGAGCTTGATTTGTATCATACATTGAAATAGCTCTGCTTAAGAAAATGACAGAAAAAGTGCATTTACAAGAGTAATTTTTTCTTTAGTTCTCTGTGAAAATGGAAGGAATTGGAATCACAGGTTGACAAATTGGTAAAATGGAACTGTAGGTGACATTGAGCCTTAAGTAAATGACCCCTGTACATGTCTCCCACTTGAGACTTTCAGATACTGTGAATGTTTAATAATCTGACAATCTAGAGAATCTGTTATAACTCTACAGCGTATTAACAAGGAAAAAGGCAGAACTCCCCGTTTCATTGTACAAAGATGAATTTTAAAAATTGATTAAAAACCACTATTTACAATTCTATGCAAACTGTCTTAAATACATGGTTTCTGGAGTTATTTACAAACTGTTTTCAGTCTGTGGGAACAATCCACAGCTAAAACAGTCATTTTATATCTCAGCTTTGGCAGATAACTCACTTCAGCAACACAACAAATGAAAAATTGTGACAAAGTATTGTAAGGGCAACCCAAGAAATTTGTTCCTCAGAAGCAACAGGGCTGCCAAAGTTTTCAAGAAAGGGTGCCGGGTTATAGTTGTACACTGTGAAAGATTGAACAGACAAAAGGACTCCATATACGAATATGGCTGATACATAAAGCCATGTGTATATGAACTCTTTAAATGAAGTATTTTTTATTGAATGAGTGAGCCTAACTTAGAATTTTTCTCCCCAATTTTATTCTTTTTTAAAAAAATACATAAAAATACAACATCCAATGTCTGAATAAATATATTTAACAAGTCACAAGATACCTTATTTTACACAAAAAATTCCGCTTTAGAAATTTTGTTAAATAACTTCATCGTTATATATTTTATTTTTTGCCTTTTGTAACAAAATAAAAACTCTGAAATTACATAGAAAAAGACAAAATACTTTTGCCAAGGGATAAGATAGTCCACTGAAAACCTATTCACAATTCCACTGTAAACATTAAACATTAAAATATTTGCATAATCATGTGCTCGAAAAATCCTATAAAAAGTGGAAGACTCATTAAGACGGTAGTTTCCAGTCAACTACGCTTCCTTTCACAATTTATTTTGTCCAATTTAAAACTGGGCACAATGCTGAGTACCTACTTTGGCAGGTCTGTACAAAGCAACTGCATCTCCTAAACATAAAAATAAAAGTGGGACTCTCGCTCAGAATTAAGATATAGCTCGGTGAAAAAAGTGCAGCAGTAATTATTTTCTGATTAACTTATTTTGATGCTATTTTTGGTGCACTTGCTCTTTTACTTAAAGTTGTTTTTTTTACAATGCCCAATGCTTCATTGGATACCTGTGTTTTCAAATCAGATTAAGTGCCCTTTTTCTGTTTAAAGCAAAGTAAAAAACAAACAAAGCATAAGACAGAGGTGTCTTAAGTGCACCCATTAATCTTTAGTTGCCAATTAGATTATTCTCCACAATAAAATGTGTTGTTTAAAAAAAACTATATGGACAAAATAGAGGAAGGGGCACAAAGGAGTAGAGACAGACAAGTCCAGCAGTGGAAGAGTATACACACTATACTTGGCAATGTCAAACCAACTGGATGCTTTCTGTGAGATTTCCGGATTTCTGTCCATGGCAGCAATTTTCTGCATGAAGCAGAGATAATCACCAGTATCACCTGCATTCAACAGCAAGCACACTCTGTGGAGGGGAGGGTGAGGATGGGCTCATTCCAGTGTCTGAAGAGCCAGAGGACATGGATGCTCCAGTATGGGACACTGTAAAAACCAAAAAGTGCTTCCATGTTAATGGCTGTCTATATTCTTTGGTACTATAATGCAATGTTACTCCCACCCCAAATCATCTAACCAAACGGGGAAGTTTTGTATCAAGTCTTCAACATGTTGCAGGTTATCAGCTACCAGGCCAGTAAATTGTCTCAAAAGATGCCAGAAAACTATTAGCTTAAAGGGGAGCCTTAAACATCTGGAAACGACCAGCTGTAATGCATCCCAGAACTGGGGTTTAGAATTTTGGTAATGTTCACACATCAGAAAAGGCTATTTATTTAAACTTACATGCCAGTTCAATTATAACAAACTCTATGTAAAGATTAAATAATAAATAAAATCAACCACATATCAAGGGACCAGCACTTCAAATATTTTGTGTTTTGACCCCAGTGTGCAAGATTTATTTTGCATTTTCCTGATA